CCGCAAAACGTACAAGTATTCCGAACAAACACACATTGGGCTGACTACGAGGCCTGAGTGTAATTGTCGCACACAAATCATCCGAGCCCTCATCACTAATGACGACCGAACTGCCGTATTTTCTTGTATACTCGCGCATGGCATGCAATAAAAGAGACCCCTACGCCATGCCAGCGGCTAAGAGTAATCCCATATCCAATCAGCTGATAGGGTCTGACAGCCCAGTTACCTAGAAGACGAAAGAGAGGAAATTTAGGATAGAGAAGCCAGTCGTAAGCAATTTTCCTTCAAATGGCCATGTCAACCTTCAAAATGGGCTTAAATAGCTTAAATAGCACATAACTTCCTGGGGGATTAAAATATTGGTAGGAGTAAGTCGGGGCCGCTTACTAGTAATGAGAGTTGCTCTAATAGTGTTGTTGGTGTATAGGCTTTTTTTGCTAACAATATGAGTTTCTCTTGGTCCTTTTTGTTCTTTTCGCAAACTTTTCACTACATTTTTAGTTCAGTAAAACAATTACAGGCGGTTTTATCTTATTTCCCACTGTACACTTATCACACATTAAACGCACATTAACTGCTAATTTACCAATCATTACACTTTTAAACATGAAATCTGTCCGGTATTTTGGCTGCGAAGCTTTTGCCATTGAGCGGTCCTACGATTTATTCTTACCAGAATCTTAAATTTCAAAACAAGCGCATCTACAGGAAAGTACACAGGGAATGGGACCCTGGGGGAACCAATGAAGACCCGAATCTCTCACAGCCTTGTCATGCAATGGTAGAAAATTAGTGGAACACGTGGCTTGGTAGTGACAGTGCCGTCAGTATGATAAATTATACAATAAATGCACTATAGTAAACCTGACGTCCTTGAACCAACCACAACGCACTGAATGACATGGTTTAAAAGTCTTTTACGTAACTGGGGGTCAGATTGCAATGCCTCCTTAGTGTGACCCTTATTGCACCGTCGCTTGCATGGGCTCTAAGCCTCCATCCCTGAACGCAGTGTCTGGTATGTATGGCATTAAGGACCAGGCCGTGCACGACCCGCGTAGTCAGGCTGTTTAACTTTGTCAGCAAGCTAGCCAGTATGCTCATGCTCACCCCTGGTTGTATTGATTTTGTCTTGCCCTCGGGTGATAGGGGATATAGCAAGAGAGAATGAGGTAGGTGCTGCGCAAGTCTGTTTCGTTGCAAGCGAATTCGCGTACAAGTTACGGCCGCGTCTACTTTATTTAACGGTGATGATAGTAGTTGTGGATCTGATCGTTGCCAGCGATCAGGATATCCATACTTGTTCGACGATGCTGACTCCACGTCAGTTCCACGACCGTGGCGAGTTTCCCTCCTAGTCGATCTGGATGGGTACGGGCCACTAGAACATGTGAGCAGAAAGAGAGCGTGAAATCACTGCAGTTTAGATGAAGCGCCAAGGTTTCTTATGGGTAAGATTTTGTTCTTAAAACTATCACAGTTAGGACTTGGAGGGTTGCCAATTGATTGGATAACTTGGTCCTGCTCAAGAACGAGGGTCAGGCTGCAACAGTTCCGTCATGTCTTCGGAGTCGGTGCGCTCTTCTAACCTTACCAAATATGGAAAGCGAGGTCGCTTTTAGTTTATTAATTCTAGTTTATGGGCTCTATTTCTCCCGTTCGGTCCTTTTCTCTTCCTTCCAGATTCCCCTTTCACCGCCAATAAGTGAAGACTGTCGGAATCTCCTCTCTCGCCTACTGAAGCGAGATCCAGGCCAACGTATTCATCACGAACAATTCTTCAATCATCCCTTTATAGACCTTCCATACGCGCCTTGTCCCGAGAGTCTTCTAAGAGCCGTAAGTCTACACTTCACCTTCTAATGAGTAAAAAAAGGGGAATGCTCACAGCCTCCTAGCTACTTCTATTCGCTACTGTATTGCTTAAAAACAGGTGGATCATCTGGAAAAAGCATCCCAGCTGGAGGCCTCCAACAAAATGGTCGACGCCTACCTGAATTACAAGGAGGGTCTTCTTCACCTCGCGTCTGCTGTGCAATGTAAGTTTTTCGTATACCTTAACTTCGTAAATTTCATCTTCGTTCTACTGTACAAGGAAATTAATCGTTTTTGAAGGAGGTGGCTCAGCTTTTCTTGAAGGAGTGGAGAGCTCGCCTGGATTCAGACAATCGCTGACAAACAAACTGTCAATTTAATCATGCGATGCAAAAAAGGTAGACTTGCGGCGAATGCGAGAGTCCTAGGCTCTTATTGCAAAAGGGCAATATATCGGGTCGCCGAAGCAATCCTTATATTCGTCTGTGCCTTCGGATCCATGCAGGAATTCATCGTCAGCAGCCGTAATTTGTACGCGAATTCGCTTGCGACGAAACAGACTTACGCAGCACCTACCTCATTCTCTCTTGCTATATCCCCTATCACCCGAGGGCAAGACAAAATCAATACAACCAGGGGTGAGCATGAGCATACTGGCTAGCTAGCTAGCAACAAACGTGCAAGACCACATATAGTTTTAGCCTGTTGCTTTTAAAATTGTTTGCGGAGCCAACATAGCCAATTACTCTCGCACCGCATTTTCGGTAGAATGAATTGCATGGCCGCCTAAACAGGACAGGAGACAAAGACTGTCCACAATGCGTGGGACTTTGCCCCAAGTTCCGGGGAAATTAAGTTTAGGATTAATGTCACGGTTGAATTTAAGTTTAGGGTTAGGTTAAGATCAAAGTTGGAGTTAGTGGCAGGATTAGGTTTAGATTTAAGGCTTGGGTTAATTTTAACTGTAGGGTTTAGTGTAGGCCTGGGGTCAAGATTAAAGTGAAAGTTTAGTTTTATGTTAGGGTAAGACACAGAAATATTTACTCTTCTTGAAATGTACAACACGGTCGCCTATTTTAATTGGGCGGTGCCTCACTGTTCCCGTGTCCTGCTTAGGCAGCCATACGAGTCATCCTTACTGAATTTTCTGCCGGATTATCTGCACAAGTCTGTATCGCATTGTTTCTTTTCTGGCGGTACTTCGTTTTCCTTGTGACAGTGAGTTTCTTCGTTTTGCGTGCATTCCGGGGTAACTTAAAACGTTGTTCCATTTATTATACTGCCGCCTAGTTCTATCAATATCTCTGATCAATAACTAAGCAACAGGGAGTTCAAAGGCATTCGCCTATCTTTCCCTCAATAAACTGATACTGATACTGAATATAGATTACGCAGGTTCCTAAACTCGCGAAATGTTATAAATTTCACAAGAAAATCCTAGCTGTGTAAAATAAGACAAAGCTGATTTTCCAGAAGTCCCACAGTAGTAAAAGAACGATGGTTCTTAAGAAGGAGGCATATTCTGGTTTACAAATTAATATGACTTTATTCATGAGTAACAGCTTTTTCAGAAAAGCAGAAATTCCCAAAAAGTGTGAATAATAGTTGTAACTAAGTAAACCTAAGTTTCAAATGCACAGAAAGCCTGTCCATGCAAAAACGGGCGAATAAAACAACTCAAGTAGACTTACGCCTGAGAATAGTCCTTTAATGAATTTTCGGAGAAGAAATCTTCCACCTTAAGTGTAATATAAAGTATGGCCGTTAACAAACAGCCTAAAACTGGAGTATGTATCCCAACATGATTTCACGAGAATTGGCTCCGTTTTCTTCCGTTTCTATATTGCTAAAGTGGTGTGTCATGGAATTAAAATATTTCAGAAGTACACGAGTTGGCAGGGCGGTCAGTTACTAATAAATTTAAATAGACTTGTAAAGTGTAATCGTAAACATATTATTTCGTACGTATTAAGATAAATTTTCTTTTGTCATATTTCTTAATAAGTATTTCAGCTGTAAAATTACGTTGAGTTTCAGATCGTGCTCGAAATAATCGTGAATACTTAACGATTTTCAGTGTTTTCAGTCGATTTCCCATAAATGTAAATTCTGTTCTATGTGTCTATCGAGACCTCCAGCATTGGGCGTTGATATGCCGTTCTAGAATTTGGTTTGTAAGGGCGTTTGCGGAGCCAACACAACCATTCATTCTTGCGCCATATTTTGGATGGCTTAACCCAGCACCATAATCTTTCTTTCCTCCTGGGTATCTCGCCTTTATTGTGTCAGCTAGCTGTGTTACTTTGCATGCGTTCTGCACTAATTGAAAATCTTGTCCTATTCCCTCTGCACTAGACGCCGTCTGTATCATCTTGAAGCAATTACTTTCGTTTTTTTCAGTTGAAGGGGACGTCCACAGAAAACGCGTTCTTCGGGACCAGGTGAGTCTCGAAAACCGCTTGTCTGATGTGCTCTTTATATGAAGTCTAATGCTCAACCGCGTAACCCAGTGCAAAAAAGTTCCCATTTGTTCTCCATATGCTGATGGTTCAACCTTTATTACTTTGTTGAGCCCTGCTTACACTTCTGCTGCATTTAAAGAGTGACATTTTCTCTCTCGCTTCCTCTTTCATTTCATCCCCGTTCAGCTTGCTCACTACATCACTGTAGCAGAGCAATTGAAGGAGCGTCTAAACGAACACAAGTCGTCTCCCCTATCTGCCAAGAAACTCCATAAGAAGGCATCCCAAGACTCAAAGACGTACGACTCGGCGTCATCGCACTCGACTTCAGAACACACTGCAATAACTCCTGCCGTGTAAGAAAATTTCATGTTTTTTTCTGATCCTTCGCCCTCTGTAGAGTTCCTTCCGTCTCCAATTCCGTCAAACCTACCCCTGGCAACAGATGTCTCGCCGCAATCCGAAGTATTAGCCTACTCACTAACTGGTTTGGCTCTCAGGCCGCTGAAGACGTTGCGGCGTCAGTGGGCCCCACAGCGGAGGTGGAAACACCGCACGAGTACTCAATCAGCCGCTTGAGTAGTCTGGGTTAGTATACAAAGGGGCACCCAAAAAGGAGAGTTATTTATTGAATTGTTTTATTTAAGATAACATTTTTAAAACAAATATTCCCCTTGAAACTACTATCCATTGGATGATATGCACTTGTCCCAACAGGTTTTCCACTGGTGGATAGACGCTCACCGGTCGGTTACGGGACTCACTCTTCTTGTACTGCCTTGGGACTCTCTAGAGTCCTGCCAACAGCCAATAGCGGCTCGTACTATAGACAGAAAGATATTACCAACAAAGACTAGGGAAACTGTAACGATCATTTCTGGCTTATTGTCTGTTAGCATCCAGTCATACCCAACCCCAGCTGTTGCAACACCCGAGGCTCGAATCTGTAACCTGTTGATTGGAAGTTAAACGCTCAAACCATTGAACCACTGGCCAGTTCTCTTCTTGGTTTAGATCTAGAATATTAGCATTGGCGTATAGGCGCTCACCGATCGAATAAGGGATTCAATCGTCCCGTTTTACCTTGGGGCTCACTCTTGAGCCCCACCAGCAGCGGGAGAGCTAGTATTATGGGCAGAGAAACATTACCGACAAAGCCAAGGGATGCTGTTTTCTACTGTTTGAAACCTTTTTAAAAGTATTCTTCTAAACTACTGTTGTTAAGCGATTCCAGTTATTTTTAAAAATCTCTTCCGCGCTCTGGAAACGCCTCCTTTTCATGTTTTTCTTCCTTTTTGGGAATAAGGAAACGTCACAGGGGACTAAGTTGAGTGAGTCGGGGGAGTGAGCAATTACTGTCACGCCGTTTTTCGTCAAACGCTGGTTGCTTTTAAACACTGTGTGGGCGGATTCATTGCCAAAATGAAGTAGCCAGTCCCTTGATCGCCATAATTCAGGTCATTTTCTATCAGTGCCTCACGCAATCGCTTTAGCCCTTGCAGATGGTATTGTTGGTTCACTTTGGTGCCATGAGGAAAAAATTCAGTGTGAAAAAACTTTGCTGTCGATCGAAAAACCAACCACCTTAGACGCGTTGGTCCTTGAATTTTGTCATCACAAAGTCACTGAGAGCGTTGGAAGGGGGAGGGTTAGTGAAGCAATTGTTGGTTGTTCTGGTTGCTCCTGAACACTTCCTGGCCAAATGAACAGGAAGAGTGCCTAGTGAACGTTCCTAGCGGGAGAAGGCAGTACTTCTAACTCACTTGCCTACAGAACATACTTCTCGTTTTACTGGGGGTACTTCCACCCATTTTCGTCCGCCTCGCTCTCGTATAAGCATAGGGTGATCTCGCCATAGGCAGTTAACATAGCTTACAGACCTCAACTCCATAGAAGCAACTGAGCCGTCGTCCGTTGCATGCCTCTAGGCAGCTTGGCGGCCACTTAGTGCTTCGACGACCGTCCATCGAGCCGGATCTTCGCGTGTCCCAGTCCAATGTACTGGGACGTCGGCTTGAATATGGGTCCCTGAGCTGAACGAAGCCAAACTGTCTTTCGAAACAAGAAGGCAGTATGCTAGTAATGCCTCGTAGGTTCGCCTGGATGACTTACTCTTAAAAAGCACCTATGAATCCAAGACGGCGTGGTGCTGCTCTCAGACATGCTAGCTCAATAAAAATCAAGGGTTACCTTAAATGCCGGATGTGTTGGCCCCGAGTCTTTCCATCTGGTTTAGCGTATTTTTTTATTTTAGTAGTTGACTTAGCTTGCCTCCTTTGTTTTTGTACGTCGAGTGTAAAAAATTCCCATTCCAGCATGGCTTTTAATGGTAAACTTGTGTCACTTTTTCCGGCAATGTTTTCCACATCATTGGACTTCTTTTGGTTGCACCTTTTCCTTTTATTTATTTTCTGATGACAAACACTTTTTTCTGCTTGCAGTAAGTAAACTCAACTTCTTAGGTGTACCTATTTTAGGCATACGTCTTATTTACCTTCATTTGTACTTCCGTTCGTTGTCGTAAATGAAATCAATTTGGGGAACACTTATTGAACGTATATTTCCTCTCTCCATGAGTGTCTACTT